AAAAATGTGGATAACTTTTGATGTTCCACGTCTTGAGATAATATGGACCAAACTTGAGCTCGTTCGGGTGAACGCCCTCGGAGGAGTTCGTAAAAGCTTAGCCAAATTTAAGCCAATATTACTGCCCCCTAGTGGAGCGCACGGTGTTGGCGTAATAATATTTTTTCCTTGACTTGACATGATCGACTTCTGTGTCAAATTTTATGATTGTACATGCAAATTTTTTTTGTGTCATTCGTATTTCCTAATGCATTTTTGAGTCGTTTGGTGGCGCTGACGAGCCATTTTATTTATTTTAGGAAAATGAAAATAGCCAAAAGTTAGAGAAGCGCGAGTTTTACCAGATGGAAAAATTTCAGGACTTTTCGTCATTGTTCAGTGGGTGAAAAATGGGTGATTTCGTTAGGAGAATAACCAACCCGATACGAGAACAATGTTTCCGCTTTTTTTTTGGCCGACAAACTATATACATTTTCGGAAAACCTCTGGCGCATTGAAATCTGTGATGGCGGGGGGTCCCTAAAGGTCACTACGGGCAAGTCACGTCTGAGAAACAGCAGATTTTTACAGAATCAACAACTGAAGCGCCAAATTATTACTTATTTCAGGTTCAGTTATATATTTTTTTCCTGTGGTTGGACTGTCTCAAGTTTGGACAGAGCTTTTTCTTGCTCTACGGTCTGAGTTGAGTCCCTTCTGTATTTGAAACAGAATGTAGAAAGGGCTGTCTGCTCAGGCAACACCAACCCTGCTCCAGTTATGTTCTTTCGGCCGCCTCCTCTCCCTCACAGCTGCCTGCATCTGCCCGTCGCTGTGCCCGTCACACGCAGTCGCGCTGGTCACTTCTGCGGTGCCCACTCTGTCCAGACGGAGCACAGAGCCCCCCTTGTGCCCCCCCCCCCGGGACACTGCGGCCAACTGTGCATCTGTAATCAGCTCCCAGACAATGGCAGACTTCAGGCAGGATTCCAGTCCACACCGATGCTGACCGATGGCTTTTGAAACCGGACTGTGATTGGGCGCAGTCGTCAGAAATACAGATATAGAGCTATATTGTATTTTTGGTTCTTTGACTCTGCTGCATCATCGTGACGTCACTGCAGAAGCCCAGTAAAGGGGAGCATGGATAATATATGTCTAAATGTATTAAAGGGACTTGTATTTGAGCAAAATGAATACATGTAGTGAGAATATGTATTTTGAGTAACTCTATTCTGGTACAGTTACTTCTTTATTTTGTAAGAAACACATGGGATTTGATCATGTATTTTAGGCTTCAAACCTCAAATTATCTAGCCAGGCTGGTGCCACCTATTGCCTTCGCTCAATTTCATTTCTCTCCAGCGACTAGGTCAGGAATTGGAATACGCTAGAAGGTTTGCAAGAATCCTGGAAGTGTGAGTTCGGGCACCAGCCAATCAGCGAAGAGCCATACATTCTGTGTTGGCAATGATTCCTGAGATCGAGGATTTAAAGCCGGAACAAAGGGAATGTTTGGTGAATTTTATCAAGGGGAAAAACGTTATTGTCCTTCTTCCTACGGGATTTGGGAAAAGCTTAATAAACCATTTAGCCCCGTTAGCGGTGCATTACATACTTTACAACCAAATAGCAGCGACTGGTTAAATGAAAAAAGTACGTGCCTACCGTTGAGTGAACAAATTCTAATGTTGTGAGGTCAGACAGTTTCCACAAACCGGCTGATGAATCAGGCTACAAATAATCATGCTGCTCTTGTGGTTTATGCATGTGTCATTTTTCCAGCTCCAATTCATGATAGAAAATGCTTTCAAAACAGTGAAGCAAATATAAAGATGTTTTTAATTCGTTGTGCTTTTACACTATAAGTTAAATGCAACTTGATGTAAAAGTATTCTAAAGCCCACCACACACTACAGGATTTTGCTTAAATGTTTTTTAAACATATGACTAAAAACTCACACCACAGACACGAGGAGAATCTTATGAGACTTAAAATCTCCAATCGCAAACACTGCAGTGGGAAATGTCTGCAGGTGTGAGCGCGATCACGTCAGCTGTTTCCTGTCAACAGTAAAACCACTTGCTTTGAGACTCTTGTGTTCAAAAGATCAGAGAACTGCACTTCTAGTTTAGATACAAGTCAAAACTGTGTTGTTATAATTTGTGAAATGTGGTGCAAAACTTCAGATACATGATTTTAAAGCATAAAAGATTGGAGATAAAGTCTGCAGGAAGTAGAGTCACTATCACTAATCTGCAGCTTCACCTCAATCCGTGCACCATGTGGATGTAAACAAACATACGTGAGGAACTACTCTGGCCTTTTTACTTTCAAAGAACACCTCAAACTGGAGGAAGAACGTGGTTTTGTGGACTGGGTGTTATTATTTGTGGAGGACAATTTCTGTGGATAATGTGGATGAGATGCTGCAGTTTAAATTTACGACTTTATAAGAATAGGAATAAAGCCTTCTCATTATTTTCACTGTGAGCTTGTATCTTGTGTCTCTGTATCCGTCACTCCTCTGCCCCTGATGTTCTGTTTTATCGGCTGTTATTGTAGTGTTGCTGATGTTTGGTGGTTATGATCTGACAGAGCAGCTCAGAGTCACACTGACACCACACACAAGGAGCGCAGTAACTTCAAAATCTCACATGAAAACACAAAGTCGGGTCACGCCTCCCTGAAACTGGACAGAAGCACATGTCAGCCAAAATCGGGCAAATTTTCCTGTAGTGTGTGACGACCTTAAGTACTCAGAACGCAGTACTCTGATTGGACCATGTATTTGAGTATGGTGTGCAGGTATTCAGTATTCATACATTTTCAAAGTATTCTTTCCATCACTGACTATCTGTACCTAATTATTTGTGTTTTATTGTCTAAGAATCAGGAAGTGTGTGCTAGTTGTCTGCAAACTCCACTCTGGCTTCTGAAAGTTGTCAAAAGCTCTTTTAAACTCATCATTTTGAATATGCATTCTGAGTATTCTAATTAAAGTAAGTGAGGAATAATTTGGACCATTGTTTGATATTTCACATGATCTAAATTTCAAACTTTTAAATGTGTAAAAAGTAGATGTAATTCATTGTTTTTTGTGCCATCTGTTGGCAAAAAAAAAAAAAAAAAAAAAGGAAATGTAAGGCGATTTCAATGAGGATGATATATGGACTTTAAAAACACAAAGGGGACTAGCTACAAAAGGAGGGGAGAGATGACATATCTCCAGAAAAATGTTTTTAGAGCTCCTTTAATTCCTTCATTATTTTTTTATTCTCAAACTTCTACACCAATTAGCTTATGATCAAGCATCCAAACGTTTTGTACACGTTGATATGAACTAGAAGAAAAGTGAAATTGTCTCATGAAAATTGTCACAGGATCTGATCGCTGTACGTCAAGAATGTGAAGATTGTGCTGTTTTGTCAGTTCCAGGAATAAAAACTAAGTGAAACAGGTTTTGTTTCTGGCGACACCAAAATTCAGAGAAAGGAATTAAAAACTTTCTGAAACCACTGTGTTTATGAGTTTCAAAAAGATGACCATTTCCATAGTGATTAACCAGTTAAAACAAAATATATCATCTTTTGAATGGGAAATGGTCCTCAAAATAGAACTATGATTGAAAATTGAAACTGAGTCATGAACAGAGCAGCAAAGTTTCAATGCAATGAGTGAATGTAAAATCAGAGTCGAAGTTAGCAATTTGAAGGCCCTAGGCGAACTTGAGGTTGGGACCCTCACTGTAATACACTGTTTTGTTTGTTTGTTTGTTTGTTTTGTTTAATATATTTATTGTCTGTTTTTCCCCATTGTTCTTGAGACATGCACATCTCTATTTATGTGAATTATGGTGCATTGGAAACTTGTCTTATTAGTTTGGTCACCTATTGAACTACAGAACAGAAAGTAGTTTTATTTTTTTGCTAGTACAATTACATTTTCGTTTACATCCATTACATACGATTATTGTTTAAAAGTAAACTACTCTCATTTAATGTCATATTGAGAGAAAATCAAATTGCTCTGAGGCCTCGGGCATTAGTGGCACTGAAGGCAATTGGTTGGGGGCCCTCCAGGTTTGGGGGCCCTAGGCAGCCGCTTACTTTTGCCTAAAGGTAGCTCCGCCTCTGTGTAAAATACAACTCCAGCTGCTTTTTTTTCCTCATTTCATAATGGACTCGTATAATGACACCACAAGTCATTTCGGCACAATATTGGACTTTTAAAGGACCCATATTATGCTATTTTCTGATCTGTTATAAAGAGTTGGAGCTGGAGTTGTGTTTTGTTTCATTCACACATGTTTAACCACAAACTCTGCATATTTAGGCTGAATTCTTCTCTCAAACAGGAAAACACTGTTCCATTTTGTGATGTCACGTGGTAATACAGGAAGTGCTCAATTGTGTTTTTAAACTCCATACACCTTCACTAGAATCAACTGGATCATTTCAACCCTAGAATTTCCCATTTCCAATCTCTAATAAACTAAAGGTAAAAAGTAACTGTTGAAAACTACCACTATATCACATCACAAGGTGGAACAGAGCATTTTGAGCTTTGTGCATGCACAGACTAATAATACAAATAACTCAAACATGTGTGAATGAAACAAAACACAACTCCAGGTCTGTATTTGAGCAGGTAACAAAGCTCACAATTGACATTTTTGCGTAATATAGGACCTTTAAAACCTCAAAAAAGTTATTATTTTAGCACAATATTCAAGCTTTAAAATAAGGTTGCTTAATCAAACTGTGTTTTCACTGTTTTCACCACTCATCTCTCTATCACATTCCCATCTTCCTCCACCCTCCTCCTCTCTCCTCATCCCCTCTTCATCATCTCTCTGTCCTCTCTCCCTCCTCTGTCCTTTAAACCCATTACATCCCTTACCATTTTCCCCTTTCGGTTCGATCGTAAACGCGGAAGTGGCTGACTGACGCACGACATCGCGCACTCTTCCAGCTTTCACGCGCACTCTCACGCACCCTCACGCACTCTCGCGGACGCACGGCTCCTCCAAAGCGAACTCAACCTCTATCGTCATTCGTTGCCTGACAGTCAGCAGCGGCGGATCGGAGCAGGCATCGCTGGCTCTCCCACCTCTCCCTCCTCTCCTCCACTCGTGAACTCGGGACTAAACTGGGATGCTTTTTACGCACACTTAACGTCGCCTTTTTACGTGTCTGCACCAAATAAGGAAGCACCCCAGAATTGCTCTACGCGTGGACGAAATTGGATTTAATTTGGAGACTATTTGGATCAAGCAGAGACAACACATCGCGGAAATAAAGGTATGTGGTTTTTTTAGGCTGTGGGTTTTACGTTGTCTAGCGCGCTCTGCAGTATGTGTCAACTACTGAGCTTCGAACAGTTGCTTGATGTAATGGTTTCTTACAAGGAAATGCACGTACTTTTTACAGACATTTTGTTCTGTAATCCCAAAACTGACCCTTTACTAGTTTGCAACGTGATTTTGGCGCACAGAAAGCCGCCTGTACACCTGCTCGGTCGGTTTACGTTCCAGTAGCGCTCGGTAATTTATTGGGGACTTATATTGCACCTCGCGTTACGTTCCGAAGCTTGGGGCTGTTTCAGAAGCGTTGTTGCACTAAATCAAGCAGGAGAAACGTGGAGTCATTGTTGTTTTGTTGCAGGTCGCTGGGAATGCACGCTCGTTTTGGCTCGTTTATGCACGGGACACTTGGTTAAAAGGCGGGGTTGCTAATTATGGCCAAAAAACGATCCGGTGCTAGTTTGAAAACTTCCAATCTATCATCCATGCTAGTTCTTTGGATTGAAGTAGCGTGCATGTCTTTTTTTTTTTTTATATATATATATATATATAATTTTTTAATTTAATTTTTTTTATTTATTTTTTGCAATATTGAAAATTTTAACCTGGGCATGACTTCTTGTTAAATATATTGAGGTTTAATATTTAAAAAATATATTGCATTGCTTGATTTGCATATGTAAGAGACATACCCGTATAGCTAGTAAAATAAAACTACTACTACTACTTTACTCTACAGCAAGCCAGACATCGATAAAATATAAACTATCTTGATTTTTATTTGCATATTTTTAGAAGAAATTTATTTTTGTCAATTGGAAGTTTTCGGTATAATCAAAAATCGCGAATGTTCACTTAGCATTTAGGATAATTTAGCATTCGTTAATAACTGCTTTCTTTTCCATCCAAAACTGCATGTTAATTTCCCAAATGAAGAGTGGGTACATATTGTACTTTTTAAAATTATAATTTTTTAATAGGCGGTATTCACGCTTAGGTCACAAACCAGGAAGAGGTTTAGAAACATGCGATGACAACTTCCGGCGGGCTCTGTTCGCGGTTAAGTCTGACAAAAAAAAAAAAAAAAAAAAAGTCTGACAAAATTAAGAAAAAAATAGAAAATTGGACCAGATTTTTTTTCATCTCCATGTCATTGTAGCATTCTGTTACATTTGGCTAATCAACAGTTACAACCATACCTCAGTTTTTATCATTTACCCAATGACGCACAACTCTGAGTGCACTGCGTACATGCAATTAGAAGAGATGAGGCACTAAATTCAAGATGATTCCAAACAGCACATACGTCTGCAGTCTTCATTTTACTGCTGATCACATTTACTTCAGTGGGTTTTAGCACAGTCGGTAGGTGAGAACAGTATCGGGAACTACGTCGGAAGTTGTCATTGCATGTTTCCAAACGTCTTCCTGTTTGTGACATAAGCGTGAATAGAGCCTGTTCAAAAATAATAATAATAATTTTAAAAAGTACAATATGTACCGACTCTTCATTTGGGAAATTAACATGCATTTTTGGATAGAAAAGAAAGAAGTTATTAACGAATGCTAAATTATGCTAAATGCTAAATATTTGGACCATAGGCTGTGAAATTCGTCAATCCAAACTTGACATGAACCACCCACAGCCGCTCCTTTTTATCACATGTCTCTCAAATGCAGAAGATCTCAACTCTCAAAAATTCTCTTATCATTCAGAACAAAATATAACTTCCTTTACTCGAGATAAGCTATAGTTTGGTGCTTCTGTTGATTCAGAGAAACTCCACGCTGTTTCTCTGTCCTCAATGTTGATTTTCCCCCTTTTTAAATTTAAGCAACCATGTTTGTTTTTGACGCAAATGGAGCGTTGATTGGTTAAACGCCTGTTAATTAGGCCTGTCACTAGGGAGAAATATTGCGATCATTTCGAAACGACTTTATGCCACTGATTAAGATTAAAATAAAGCAAGATGATCCCAGCAGAAGCTTTTTAAATAGACAGTATCATCAAAAGGCCTGAGCTGCAAAAAATAATTAGCATAATGAACCAATAATTAGCCATAAGAGTGACTTTCAACCCCGTATAGCTTAAATAAAATCATATTACAAGTAAAATAACTATTATCTTATACTTTTGCAAAGAAAACATACCTACACTGAACATTGAGCACCAAATATATATTAATCCAGCTTTCATATATTGAACGATAAAGATGATATAGAAATATTAGAAATATTGACTGAAATCAGAGAGACAGGGTAGGCTCCAGACCCACTCGTCTTTGTAAAATTTTGACAAAGTGTGGGGTTCTGGCTGGACAGGTAATCATCTTTCTATATGTACCCCCGCAGCGTAGCCCCACAGTGGCAGAGTGGTTAGCTCTCTTGGCTCGTATGGCGAGGCTGGTTGTGACAGTAAGTGTGGAGTTAAGGGCGTCTGTCTGTGTGTGCTGCTGTCAAGAGGACATTGCGTTCTTTACGGGTCCAGTATTATGTAAAATTGACTCTTGTGAGCTTTAAGTCGTGTTATAATGTTGTTACCTTCTCAAAAACAGACCTGGAGTTGTGTTTTGTTTCATTCACACATGTTTATTATCTGTCTGTCTGTATCTCCAGTGCTCAAAATGTTCTGTTTGTGATGTCATGTAGTGATAGTTTTCAAAGTGAACTGCTCCTTTTAACTTTAGTTCAGTAGAGATCGGCAATTCCAGAGCTGAAAATATCCAAACGATTCTAGTGAATGTGTATGGAGTTTTAAAACGCAATGGAGCACTTTCTGTATTACTAGGGATGTAACAGTAACTGAAATATCGTGATACTGTACCGTCAACATTTTCACAATAATAGTGGACCGTCATAATATACTGAATTACAAGTCTCTTTGCTTAAATTAATAGTTATGGTGCAGCGATGGTAAAAAAAAAAAAAAAAAAAAAAAAAAAAAAGACAAAGGGAACTACACAGACCATGATCCTTTGCTCCATTTCAGTGCAGACTACAAGAAGAAATAACAGTTTTAAGCACTTTTAAGTCTTATTTCTGTGGATTAAATCTTGTCAAGGCATTTTAAGGGGGAAAACAGTTAAGTTTTGTTAGCCTCCACAAAATATCGCCATAAATATCGTACAGTGAGATGTTTATCCGTGAAAATATCATACAGAGAGATTTGGATATTGTTACATCCCTAATCGTGAGCCTCCCCACCATATCGTGAGCTTTCCCACGATATCGCAATAAATATCGTACCACGAGGTTCATACCATGACAATAATATCATTACACCCCTATGTATTACCTTGCGATGGGCATGATTAGTCGACTCCAAGGCAACATTATAAAACTGATCAGAGAATAGCTTAATATGGGCCCTTCAATGTCCAAGTCAATAGCATCCACACACAGTGAACGGCTGTCTCATCTGGCTATTTTAATATCCGTTTAGACTTATTTAATTTAATGGAAGATGTTGTCAATTTCAGAATACGCTACATTGATTCTACTACAGCAGGAAGGAGCCGGAATGAATATTTAATGGCTGGATAAAACTGGATGCAAGGAAGTCAGTTAAGTGGAGATGTCAGTGATGAGATGAAGAGAAAGAATGACTGACAGAGAGTAGTTATGAGGAAGAGGAGGTGGACATAGAGAGGCTGAGGAGGCTGGTGGATCTGCTGCCGCGGTGTTGTGATTGGCCGACAAAAAGTGGAAATGCAGTCTTTCTGGTTGGATATTAACTTTATGAAAACACTGAAAACACTTGCAACGATGAAGACAACTTGTTATTGTGGAATAAATTGGCCTATCTGTTCTTCGTCTTCTTTGTCTTCTTCGTCGTCATCTTCTTCATCGTCTTCTTCATCTCTACCTCACGCACATCTCATTAACTGCCCAATTAGCATTATACTTATTTGTTCAATCAAATATTAAAGCCACAGTATGAAACTTTTTAGCCAAAGAAATGGAACCAAATAATAGTTGCGTTTATTGCACTGAAAAACCCTAAAAATGCTTGTTCGTACTGTGAGTGGGCTTGCATCTCCACAAACCTGACTCCTTACTGGCCTGCTTGTTTCCATGGAAATATTGTTCCTTCAGCTATAACATTCCACAGTATGGCATTAAAGTTATCTATGGAGAATGAGAATGAGGGAATAGGTTTTAACTTTCTTTTTCCATGGAATTCAAGCTGTCCACCCCACTTACTTTCTCTAACGGATTTTTGTGTCTAAAAAAAAACTTGAATAAATGCAAGATAAACGAGTGTAATGCTGCACTGTGGAACATTCCAGGTAACAAACGGGAGCTGAACGCCGTATATAACATCACTGGTCTGGAACACCCCTCCCTTCACACACTCGTCTTTTTTGTTGCTCTTATCGACTGTAGGTTCACATTTCACTGTCCTCTTCTCATCAGCTCTGCAGCTTTCTCTCTTTACTCCCTCTGTCTCTTCTGTCTGTCACTCTCTTTGTCTCTTTCTCTCTCTCTCTCCTTCTTGTTCTTTCTTTGTCTCTATGCTTTCTCTTTCCCTTCTCTTTCGGCATCTCTTTTTCTCTGTGTCTCTCCATCTCAATCCTGTCTCTTTCTGACTCTTGTTCTTTCTTTGTCTCTATATTCTCTCTCTCCTTCCCTTCTCTGTTGGCATCTCTTTTTCTCTGCATCTCTCCATCCCTGCTCTCTCTCTGTCTCTTTCTGTCTGTATCTTGTTCTTTCCGTGTCTCTATGTTCTCACTTTCTCTCTTTCCCTTCTCTATCAATATCTTTTTTTCTCTGTCTCCATCTGCCTATTTCTTGTTCTCTCTTTGTCTCTTTCCCTTCTCTATCGGCATCTTTCTTTTCCTCTGCATCTCTCCATCCCCACCCTCTCTCTGTCTCTTTCTCTCTCTCTTTTGTTTTTTCTTTGTCACTATGTTTTCGCTTTCTCTCTTTCGCCTCTCTATCGGCATCTCTCGTTTTCTCTCCATCCCCATCCTCTCTGTCTCTTTCTGTCTGTTTATT